GAGAGTTTAACTCCTCGAAGACTTAAATCCCTTGTACAATAAAGAAGGGACTTATTAGTACTGATCAGCTTAAGGTATTATAAGTTTCTTAGAGATCTGTGCCTCTCTAGTTGTATCCAGAATTAAGGTATAGCGAATGCAGAATGTTTTCAGGCGCTTCTCACCTGCCAGCGGTTTTAGTGATGGGGCAGCTGATTGACTGATAGGCTGATAATGATAGCCAGTTATAAGCATGCTTTAATGCTGGCAAACCACTTGCGTGGAGAAGCAGCCCAAAGACGCTCCTATGGTAAACCATACGTAGCTGTAGGATGTGCTGTGCTGGCAACGGCTTAGTTACGCGGGGCACAACTAAACGCAAGTCTTGTTAAAAATTATTAATCCCTCCTCCACCTCTTTTCCATCCTGCTAGATCAACTCTTACTGTGGGTGTGTTGAGCATTCTTCGAAATTCTCCGTAAAATCTGACACCAGATTTTGCAATTTGCATGTTCACAAGTAAAAAGAAAACTGGAACAAGAATAAGCGCAGGTTCTCCAGTACGGAAAAGAATAACAAAAGTGACAGTGTGTAATCAGCTTCGCAAAAAGTGGTGTTGGGTTTCAAAAGAACACTTCAGAAATGCCTCTGTCGATCGTGACTCTTTCAAATTTTAACCTTTTTTAGGACTTGATAATTTAATTGGACTAGCTCGAGTTCAGATCTACAAAGAAGATGTTGTATCTTAATCTATACGGTAAGACTACACAAAATACTGAGTGGCCTTAGCACCATCTTAGAAAAAGTATCAAGGCAAATCCAATTCTATTCTTCCAGAGAAGTTGCAACGGCTGATCGTCTTTGGCTTCGAATTACGAACTTTTCCACAGTAATCTCCGATTCCTTTCAGGGGGAGTTAAACCGACGATATTTCTCCAAAACTATCGGCTGCCTTTCTGGCAGATGTGACCACTACTTGTGACTGTTAATAACATTTGAAAAGAATTTGTAATGAACTATTCCCTAGCCATTTCGGCGCTTTTTGTCTAACAAAATTAGGTGAGGATCCTTATGGCCAATAAAAGAAACTTTAGGAAAGTAGTGAAGAAAGTCAGAAACAGTTTGAAATTTAATTACAATCAGCTTGCGAAATCCACTCAATCATTCACACTCGTTCGTGCCAAAGATTTGCAAGGCGACTCACTCTTGCCTTCAACTTGATGGGCGGCCCCTCTCTCTCCTCTGGTTGGAAAGCATTGCTAGCGAAAGAAGCCAAAGACAGGCAGCCGCTGCAACCTCTGCCTTATGTAAAGAAAGAACACTAGATTGCTGTTTTTTTTTGAACATTTTTGCACGTCAAAGATTACTCATTTACGCCACACCAAAGCGGTCTAAACTTACTTTAGATACTCAGATGCTTAGATGGCCTGCCTTCATCTGTCGTGCAGGCCCCATTCCTTCCGCTTCTGTCTCTCGCTAGCGTTCCACGATGTTAGTATTGAACTGCGGCTGCGACTTTCACGAGGTCCA